CGGATGCAGCTCTGATGCTCGGATGCAGCTCTGATGCTCGGATGCAGCTCTGATGCTCGGATGCAGCTCTGATGCTCGGATGCAGCTCTGATGCGGATGCAGCTCTGATGCAGCTCATGGAGAAGTGTCAAAAAAAGGTCTGATGTCTGTGTCGAGTCTCTGTCGAAGAGAGACGCGACGAGATGAAAAGAGCTTAAAGGAGTAGAGCTCTGAAGGAGTTCAGAGTTCTTGAATCCAGAATGCAGGGACGATTTTGGGAATTATAACTTCTGTTTGGATAACCTCGCACGACTCTCGAAGTATTTTAGCTGTTCTCAACGGAGACGCTGAAAGAGTCAAAAGAAGGACTTCACGCCGACCTGACCTATCATCAACCAGGTAAAAGTTCTATTTCGACCAAGCGTACCGTGGCCAAGCTGAGATCTGAAGGAGCGTGCACGTTTCTGGTCAAACAGATAAATTCCCTCACACATCTCTCTGTAAGATAAATCTCCATTTTCCATCTTTAAACTCTCCTTTCTCCTAAAATCATTACAGATATTTTAGAAATGTCTGAAGCAAAGTTCTCAATCACCGCCGTGTGATTGATGTCTGCGGTTCTGCTGAGAAGTGAGGACAATCGCCGTATTGTTCCAACTTCCTGTGAAACTAGCCATGTTGTTGTTTTCATATTTTGCCAAATTAATGTAAATGTTTGATGTTAAACTTTGATTCTGCAAATAAATGACCGCATTCATTTTGATGGGTCAAAGATAAATAACGTCTCTCGTTACATTTCTGTTAAATTCAATGCACGACATTTACACAGTCAGAAAAATGAAGAACTCGTGAAATGTATGAATATATCCTGCATATGTCATACTACACAATTGAATCAATGGAAGAAATAATGGGATATTTAGAAGGAAAGGTAATCTGGTGTGGGGATTTTAATGCTCATAGTACACTCTGGGGTAAAAGTAATGATAAAAATGGTCAAGAAATTGAAGAATTGATGGAATTAAAAAACCTAGTGTGTCTTAATGATGGAAGAGGAACCAGAATCAACGTTAGAACAGGAGAAGAATCAGCAATTGATTTAACACTAGTATCAAACTCACTGGCTGTCAGTTGTGAATGGGATATTGATAAGAATACAACAAATGGAAGCGATCATTACCCAATTAAGATTAAAATACAAATAAAACCAGAAAGCAGCAAAGTAGAGTGGAATAAAAAATGGAATTTCAGCAAAGCAGAATGGAATAAATTTAAGTATATCAGTGAACAAGAATTACAAAAAATTGACATGACAGCAGATGTAAATAACATAAATTCAAATATTTGTAGGGTTATTCTAGAGGCAATAGAACATTCAGTGAAGAAAGGAGGAGGAAGGAAAGAAAGAAAAATAGTACCGTGGTGGACAAACGAATATAATAATGCAATCAAGTCAAGAAATAAAGCCTTTAATATACTTAAAAAGAATCCTATTTATCAACATTTAATAGATTATAAAAGAGAACAAGCGATGGTAAGGAGGATAATAAAGGAGGCAAAAAGAAACTACTGGAGAAAATTCTGTGACACTATTGGGAAAGAGACTAAACTTGATAAAATCTGTAAAGTGATTAAAAGAATGAATGGCATCAGGAAAGAATATGTATACCCAGTGTTGAACACAGATAAAGGAGCGATGATTAAAGATAAAGCTGAAATGTTAGCTGAAACCTTTAGAAAGACTCATAGTTCAAATAACATCAGTGAGGAGGAAAAGAAAGGGAGGGAAGCCACAAAACTAAAGTATAAATATTTACAACAGAGTAGTGAAATGAATGATAATTTATTGAACGCATCATTTAAAAAAGATGAACTAAACAGAGCTCTGAGAAAAACCAAGACAACAGCACCAGGAAAAGATCAGATCTGGTATTTAATGATAGATCATCTCAGTGAACCATCCAAAGAAATCATTTTAGAGCTGTACAACAAAGTGTGGGAGGAGGGGGAACTGCCACAGAGCTGGAAGGAGTCAGTCATCATACCCAGAGCAAAACCAGGAAAAGACAACACTAAACCGGAAAATTACAGACCAATCGCACTAACATCAAACATATGTAAGATAATGGAAAAATGATTAATGAGAGATTAACATACTATTTAAATAGTAAAGGATATATATCTAAATATCAAAGTGGGTTTCAAAAAGGGCGTAATACATATGATTCAGCTTTACGGTCAGAACATGACATCAGAAAAGTGCAGATAAATAAAGATAGTGTGGTGGCGGTGTTCTTTGATGTTTAAAAAGCATATGATATGTTGTGGGTTGAAGGGTTGTTAATTAAAATAAAGAAATGAGGTATTACAGGGAAAATGTTTAAATGGATCAAAAACTTTTTATCAAAAAGAACAATACAAGTTAGAATAGGAGAAGAATATTCTGAGAAATATGGTGTAGAAAATGGAACACCACAAGGCAGCATCATAAGTCCCTTATTGTTTTCTTTAATGATAAATGATGTTTTTGTAGAAATAGAGGAGGGAATGGGCTGTTCACTCTTTGCAGACGACGGGGCAATTTGGAAAAAAGGAAGAAATATAGAAGTCACAGTAGAAAAAATACAGAAGGCTATTAAAGAAATAGAAAGATGGGCAATAAAGTGGGGGTTTAAATTTTCAGTGACAAAAACAAAGACAATGATATTTACACGGAAAAGAATTACAGAAGTCAAAAAACTAAAACTATACAATCAAGAAATAGAACAAGTTAAGAGTATAAAGTTTTTGGGAATGTGGTTTGATGAAAAAGTAATATGGAATATTCACATTCAGAAAATTATTGATAAATGTAAAAGGGTCTTAAATATTATGAGATGTTTGGCGGGAAATGAATGGGGAGCAAGGGCAGCACGGTGGCACAACTGGTAGAGCTGCTGCCTCTCAGCGAGCAGGTCCCTGGTTCAAACCCCGGTCCAGGGGCCTTTCTGGGTGGAGTTTGCATGTTCTCTCCGTGCATGCGTGGGTTTTCTCCGGGTGCTCCGGTTTCCTCCCACAGACCAAAAACATGCATGTTAGGCTGATTGGTAACTCTAAATTGTCCCTAGGTGTGAGTGAGAGAGTGAATGGTTGTTTGTCTCGTTTGTCTCTATGTGTCCCTGTGATGGACAGGAGACCTGTCCAGGGTGTACCCCGCCCCTCGCACAGCGATTGCTGGACATGGGCACCAGCGACCCCCGTGACCCAAAATGGAATTAAAGGGTAAAGATAATGGATGGATGGATGGGGAGCAGACAGAACAGCATTAAAGAGAATATACAACAGGCTGATCAGGTCATCTATAGATTATGGCAGTGTAATCTATAGATCTGCAGATCAGGTCATCTATAGATTATGGCAGTGTAATCTATAGATCTGCAGATCAGATCAACTATAGATTATGGAAGTGTAATCTATAGATCTGCAGATCTATAGATTACACTGCCATAATCTATAGATGACCTGATCTGCAGATCAGGTCATCTATAGATTATGGCAGTGTAATCTATAGATCTGCTGATCAGGTCAACCATAGATTATGGAAGTGTAATCTGTAGATCAGCAGCAAGAACACATCTGGAGAAACTTGACCATCTCCAACATCAAGCACTAAGAATGTGTACAGGAGCATTCAGGACCACCGCAGCACTTAAAGTAGAGATGGGAGAGATGCCTTTAGAATTGAGAAGAACACAGCTAGCAATACATTACTGGATCAACTTACAAGGAAATAACCCGGATCATCCAACTTTAGACATTTTAAAACCATGCTGGGAAAAAGCAAAGAGAGAAACAGGAAGCTTTGGTTGGATAATCGATCAGAAGATACAAGCAGTTCAAATAAGAAACCTAACAATAAGTCCAATAGTACTGTTACCAACAATACCACCATGGATACTACTAAAAGTAGATTTTACACTTATGGAAAAGAAAAAAGATAAAAAAATCACTTTTAAGTCGTATACAGTACAGAAATATATAAATAATTATTATGGTTACGTTCAGATTTACACAGACGCATCAAAAGACACAACAGGGAAAATAGGAATAGCAATTATCATCCCAGAGTTCCATAAGAAACAAGTTAAAGGGATTACAAATGGATTGTCAGTATACACCGGGGAAATGTTCGCAGTATTATTAGCAGTACAATGGATAGAAGATGTCAGACCATTAAAAACAATCGTATGTTCAGATTCAAGTTCATCACTTACAAGTTTACAGCACAGCCACTCAGACAGCAGAGCAGACATTTTATTAGAAATCCAGCAAACATTATTCAGAATAATGATGATGGTTTGGAAGTTGTATTTCTGTGGGTACCAGCACACACTGGGGTTGAAGGAAATGAAGCAGCAGACAGGGAAGCAAAAAGAGCAACAACACAACAAGTTAACTTTATAATAACTACAAGCAAATCAGAAGCAAGAAGCATGGTTAAAGAAAAACTGAAGGAAAAGTGTCAGAAAGAATGGAATGAAGAAAACAAAGGAAGATGGAACTATAAGATCCAAAGAAGAGTGGGAGAGATGAGAACAGGAGGGAGAAACAGAAGAGAAGAGAGATTAATAACAAGACTGAGACACACTGGACTGAACAACACATTATTCACAATACATAAACACGATACAGGAAATTGTCAGTATTGTGGAGAGACAGAAACAATAGAGCATGTGATTTTAAGTTGTCAGAGATATGAGAGAGAAAGAAGACGCATGATGGAGGAACTTAGATTAAAGAAACATTAAATATCACAAACATACTACAGAAAGAGTCAGGGAGTAAAAGTGTCAACATTTTGATAAGGTTCTTCATTAAAACAAAGCTGATCAATAGGATATGATTAGGACAGACAACACATACACAAGTAAATAGAATGTATTATTATTTTTTAAAGTGTTCTGACCCACACTCCAACCAGCAGGTGGCGGTAATGCACACCATAAGTTGTTTGCCAACCGCCAATAAAAAAACTCAAGAAGAAGAAGAAGAAGAAGAAACACCATTTTGTCTGTTTGGCTCCTGTTTGACGTGTGGAACTGCGATAGCAGGTGACCGTGTCCAGGAGAACATGGTTTGGTTCCGAGCTGTGGGGAGAATGTTCTGTTCGACGGCCCAGTCCGGAGCAGCTCCGGGCTCTGCCAGCCGCTGGGAGAAGATGAAAACCAGTAAAGCAGGTGAGACACTGCCACTTCCGGCCGCTAACCCCGGCGTCACGTGCATGTAAAGGTTATTAGTACAATTATTTACATTAGAACTGTTTCTGTGGATCAAAACTCACCGTTCATCAGAACCCATGACGGTAATATGTGGTAAACAAACAAACAAACAAACAAACAAACAAACATCATGGCTGCTCTGCTTGTTGAAACAGAATAGAACTGTTTTTAATAAGGTTTTACTGTAGGAAGTTGTTGAATTTACATTAACTATTGTTTTTAAATTAATGTAATGTATATTTAACATAACTTGTTTTTAAAAAGCTACGTTGGTTTTCTAGATCTTGTTGTTAAACAAATTTGTCAGTCTTGTGTTTGTGAATTGTTATTTTATTGTTTGCACGCACACATAAAGGAAAAGATAAAAGAAAAATGTGCAGGAGAGGTCATAAAAATCCAAAATGGGTTTACAAACCCCCAAAATAAAGACATCATGAAGCTTGGTACATAATCTTACATCGTGGTAGTCGGCAGGAGGCGAAAAATCTTTTGAGTCTCGATTTATTCTCTACGTCTTCCCACATCAAGCTCAGAAAAACCAATAATTTAAAACCATTGATCTGCTCTTTTTATATTCTGTCCTTTCACAATAAGAGCACATTCTGACGTGAAATATCTATATTTGTGTCCGCCACACAGCCCCCTGAACACACAGAATGTCACAAACACCAAAAACACATAAATTGTGAAACCCATTACAGGTGTAAAACACACACACAGAAATAAATCCATAAATGAAATACCTAACGGTAACGGATAGGGAGTTTACTAAGGCGGCCACCAGGCTGCTCTTCACAGCGACAGGGGTTGAAAGTGAAGGAGACTCTCTGGACCGACGGCCACTCGGTTCACCTGAGGGAGGCAGCACAGCTGTAGGGGGGAACCTGGAAGAGTGGCCAAAGAAACTGGGGGACGGCCACGACAAGGTGGCTGAGCCAACTCAAGCGGGTTCCCCGGCAACATATGAGCCGGTCTCAAATGGTCCACCAAAACACTCTCTTGATTATCCCCCAAGTCCACCAAAAAAATGTAGGTCCCCTCTCCAAAACGAAATGGACCATCGTAAGGAGGCTGAAGTGGTGAACAGTGTGCGTCATGGCGGATAAATACATATTGGGCCAACATAAGGTCCTTCGGCACAAACACCTGTGAAAGGCAGTGATGTGCTGCCAATGGGGCCACAGATCTATTTTCCCCTGTTAGGACCGCCCTACTCCCTTTGGGAGCAACTGAACCTGCCAGACCTGGAAGAAACTCCCCTGGTACCCTCAAAGGCTGGCCAAGGACCAACTCGGCTGAAGAAAACTGCAGGTCCTCTTTAGGAGCTGAACGCAGGCCCAACAAAACCTACGGCAGGTGATCCATCCAACCATTATCCACCAATGAGGCCCGCAATGCAGCCTTCATTGAGCAGTGGAACCTCTCACAAAGACCATTAGCCTGCGGGTGGTAGGCAGTATAATTAAAACCTACTCTGTGATTTGTCAAACCTTGTGAAACTACAATAAAGTGCTATTTCAACACTTTTTTGAATAATTTGAGCAGAATTAAAAGTCAAAATAGGCAAATGTGTGTTTGTATGTGGGTTAGGGGTAGGGCTGAGTACCAAACCTCGGTTCTTTTATGGTACTGACCGAACTGCTTCGGTTGGTATATGGATCAAAACGTGTCTGTTGTTTCGGTGATTGGCTGTAACGTGACACGTGGTTTCAGCACACATGCAGGTAAAACACAGACATATGGCAAACAGACATGCATGGTTACGCCCAGAGCTGTATAGAGCGGCTGTGTAGCCGTATGTCTATGGCGCTGCTTACGCCCACAGATGGTGTTCACGTGTCTGTGTTGTGTGAACTAGTGTGTAGCGCATGTGTCACCGAACCACTTCAATTTACGAGTGGAAAGTTGCTCCGTGTTTGTCTGCAAGAAAAGTGGATCGCAGCCTCCTCCTCTCAGCATTAAAATCAGCCTGTGGGTGTTGGAGCCTGAACGGCCTGATTCAACATTTCCACGACCTGACTCGTCTTCGTCCGAGAACTCCGATGACGGCTCTATGTCTGCGATTTCAGCTGGTAAGTTTATGTTTAACTTTACTGCAGCTTAATACGTGCATTGCAGTGAGCTAAACTAGGATCCATGTAACGCTAACTTTAAGATATTAGTGTGTAAATTTATTTTATGGCTATCTATGTACAAACTGGATTCCAAAAAAGTTGGGACACTAAACAAATTGTGAATAAAAACTGAATGCAATGATGTGGAGATGACAAATATCAATATTTTATTCGTAATATAACATAGATGACAGATCAAAAGTTTAATCTGAGTAAATGTAACATTTTAAAGGAAAAATATGTTGATTCAAAATTTCACAGTGTCAACAAATCCCAAAAAAGTTGGGACAAGTAGCAATAAGTGGCTGGAGAAAGGGAATTGAGCATATAGCGAACAGCTGGAAGACCAATTAACACTAATTAGGTCAATTGACAACATGATTGGGTATAAAAAGAGTTTCTCAGAGTGTCAGTGTCTCTCAGAAGCCAAGATGGTAAGAGGATCACCAATTCCACCATTGTTGAGCAGAAAGATAGTGCAGCAATACAAGAATGGTGTAACCCAGCATAAAATAGCAAAGACTTTTAAGTTATCATCATCAACCGTGCATAACATCATCAAAAGATTCAGAGAATCTGGAACAATCGCTGTGCGTAAGGGTCAAGGCCGTAAAACTCTACTGGATGCTCGTGATCTCCGGGCCCTTAAACGTCACTGCACCTCAAACAGGAATGCCACTGTCAAGGAAATAACAGAATGGGCTCAGGAATACTTCCAGAAAGCATTGTCAGTGAACACAATCCACCGAGCTATCCGCCGTTGCCAGCTGAAACTCTACAGTGCAAAGAGGAAGCCATTTCTAAGCAAGCTCCACAAGCTCAGACGTTTGCACTGGGCCAGGGGTCATTTAAAATGGAGTGTGGCAAAATGGAAGACTGTTCTGTGGTCAGAAGAGTCACGATTTGAAGTTCTTTATGGAACACTGGGACGCCATGTCATCCGGACCAGAGAGGACAAGGATAGCCCAAGTTGTTATCATCGCTATGTTCAGAAGCCTGCATCACTGATGGTATGGGGTTGCATGAGCGCTTGTGGCATGGGCAGCTTGCATGTCTGGAAAGGCACCACTAATGCAGAGAACTATGTTCAGGTTCTAGAACAACATATGCTCCCATCTAGACGTCATCTCTTTCAGGGAAGACCCTGCATTTTTCAACACGATAATGCCAGACCACATTCTGCAGCAATCACAACATCATGGCTACGTAAGAGAAGGATCCGGGTACTGAAATGTCCAGCCTGCAGTCCAGATCTTTCACCTATAGAGAACATTTGGTGCATCATTAAGAGGAAGGTGTGACAAAGAAGGCCCAAGACGATTGAACAGTTAGAGGCCTGTATTAGACATGAATGGGAGAGCATTCCTATTTCTAAACTGGAGAAACTGGTCTCCTCTGTCCCCAGACGTCTGTTGAGTGTTGTAAGAAGAAGGGGGGATGACACACAGTGGTAAAAATGGACTTGTCCCAACTCTTTTGGGATTTGTTGACGCCATGAAATTTGGAAACAACAGATTTTTCCCTTAAAATGAAACATTCTCTCAGTTTAAACTTTTGATCTGTGATTTGTGTTCTATTCTGAATAAAATATTAGATGTTGGCACCTCCACATCATTGCATTCAGTTTTTATTCACAATTTGTTTAGTGTCCCAACTTTTTTGGAATCTGGTTTGTAGCTAGCTACAATCAAAAGCTAACTAAAGATTGACAGTAACAGATGAAACTTAGCTTGTAAAAATGTGCTCATCCATCCAGTCAGCTGCTTAAACAGTTCACGTAATGTTCACTGTTTATGTTAATGTTCTCCTCACAGGACCCTCTGACCCTGATGTGAGGAGGACAGACAAAAGAAAAGTGAGGTGGGGGCCACAAGACAGTCACAAAATTTGTTGTTAAAAGATTGCTGCCTTTTTCTACAGTGGAGGCTGCATGGTAGAGGTAAGGAAGCTGTAAAGGATATTGTTGACCAGTTAAGCCTTTATCTCTCAACCTAGATAATGTTTTTTGAGAATAGAATAGAATAGAAACAGCCTTTATTGTCCCATGGATGGGAAATTCCAGTGTATCAGCAGCAATCAGCAGAAACCATGTTATTGTTGATGTTTTGTTCTCATGTCAATTAGGGAGATGATCAGAGCCCTAAACTCCAGAGATCCACAGAGAAGATTCAGGCAGAGACACAGAGGTGCAGAAGTCTGCATCAACTCTAACCTCAGTGAATCCAGTGACCTGCTGGTGGGATGTGAGGGACAATATGTCAAACTGACAACCAGGTATCTGTGTGTGCAACAATCATCATCTACAGCCTCAGAGTGAACATGTTCTACTGCTGGAGACACCATCAGCCAGGAGCAGCTGGTTTGTGTCCACAGAAAACAGACATGTTGATGTTTCTGAATGAAAAACTGTTCAGAGAAAAGTTCCTCAGTGTGCAGCAGTGAACATTAGACACTGACGTGTCACTGGTTTGAAACTGGTCTTTTGAACTGGGGCTGCTGTGGCTGAGTGGTTAGAGCAGTCGTCCTCCCATGTGAGAGTTGGGGGTTTGAATCCACCATCAGTCACATGCTGAAGTGTCCCTGGGCAAGACACTGAACCCCTTGTTGCCTCCGATATGTGTCCCATCAGTGTATGAATGTGATCTAAAGCACTGATCAATCTCTTTAGAATGATTTGTTCAATTATCTTTGTAGAGATCTAGTATAGAGCTGTATGAATGGGTAATTGAGGCACAGATTGTTGTAAAGAGCTCTGAGTATCTTGAAATAAGCTAGAAAGGCGCTGTATAAGTACAGTCCATTTACCATTTGAACTGGAAATTATTTGTTTATTTTTATGTAAGAAAACTGCTTGAAATAGAAAAATAACAAAATTTTAAAATAAAACTCACGATTTGTACTGTAATGTGTAACAATTTTCTTTTTGTTAGAATTAATAATAATTACAAAATTGGTACCTAAAAAAGCACCGTCCAGGAACCGACACCGAAGTGAAGGTACCGATGCCGATTTTTTTAGAAAGGTACCCAGCCCTAGTAACAATAAGTTTATACTTCTACCCACTCCTTTGAACGTGTAAATATACTTTACTACTGTTGTTCTTTTCTGCTTGCTTTTGTTTTGATTTTTTTTTAATATAACTTTGTTTATTTTCTTCTACTACGTTCATTAAAGTTAAACTCGAACTCAGATCATTCACTCACCATCAGAAGTCTTCAGAACAGGACAATCAGCCAGTTGTTGTGAAATCTGTGTCGTGCTTTTAGAAAATGCCGACAAGCAAATCAAAACACGGCATCTCTACCCACGCTGTGTTCCAACCACAAATACTGATCGAGCCAGCCTTTGTTAAAACTTCTCTGTTGCACTCCAAATAGGTGTGACGGGCATTTTTGTAGAAGTGGTTGTCTTGATCCATCTCGAGGACTTCAGCTTAGATCCTCCAGCTGTCCAGCGCTAGCAGTGTTAGCATTCTCCGCAGATGTGGAAGGATGCAGCGTGCTTGATCCCCTTCCAAGTTATTGTTTGTTGGTCACAGTCTGCTTCCAAATAATCCTCCTCCTCTGATTCTATTCTAGGCAATTTGGCTGACACAAAAAGGTCAATGTTTGCATTTCGTGCACTTTTCAAATGTTTACTGGAACTTCCGGTCTGGAAGTGGAAATTGAAGTTCACTTCCTGTTGCTAGATCTGATTTTTTTTTTTTACTCCGTATAATCATTGATTGTTTTTTGAAATTATTTGTGTTTGGTGAGGAAAATATCACAATCGCAGATTAAAGAATATTAACTTAGATGAAAAACAAAATAATCTGGTGTTTTATGGGGGGTGCTATGACTTTTCGGGGGGGGGATCTAGTGCCTCCCTGGCGCCGCCGCTGTATCCATCATGTAGTGTGAACAGGCCCAGCTAAGTAAGCTCTGTCTCTGCTGTGTCTCAGGTGTGTGGTGTCGCAGTTTGCTCTCCGACTACAGAGAAGCGTGCAGGGAGACGGTGGTTGGTGCGTGGGAGCGGCCACTCAAGACCTCGTTATATGCAAGTCTGCTGGGCAGCGCCTGGATCTGTTTCTACACAAAACCTGACCGCTCGTTGTTTGAGGCCGCCCTGCTGGAGCGCTCCAACCAGCTGGCTCTGCTGTCGCCGTGGGTACGCAACGCCACGTCCGACAGCCACGTGCAGAGTCTGATGAAGCTTCGTAATGAGGGCCGACTTCGCTGTGCCAGCCTGGGACTGCTGAGTGTGATCTACAGAGCCGACTTTGACCCTGACGTCACACTGTATGAAGCCCGGTGCTCCAACCTGTCCACTCCATGGAGGGAACTCCCTCAACGGGTGCTCGACATCGGCTTCGCTGGCCACTGGTGGATTCTAGACTCCAAGATGAATGACTACGATGTTAACGAGGAGGAATTCAAGTTCCTGCCAGCATACATGCAGGCTACGTCACCTCCCAGTGTTCAGGAGGTGGGGAAGAACCAGAACTTGCACAAAGACTCCTGGTTACCGCTGACGATGGAGGAGGAGAAAGCTCATGCTGTAGAGATGAAGAGGAGCTGACAAACACGCTTGAACTGTGAGGACGTCACTTTCCACAAAACTCTAGCCCCGTCCAGTTAATCTCTCTTTCTCTCCCCCCTCTATGAAAGGAGGGCGGTCATGTAAGAGCCAGTGTGTTCATTTGTCTTGAATTTCAGCAAAGCATCTCTGAACTCAAAGTAACTATTGGGTGTGATCACTAATCAACTTCAGCCGGCAAATGTGGCTAAACTTCAGTCAGAACTAAAGAAATCAGGTTGACATTTGATGATGTAGGTGATTCCAACACACTGAGTGAGCACTAACAGATCTCTCTACATTTTCAGGGTTTGACCAGTTTCAACTAAGTGACTCCAACTCTCTCTCAGCGGGTGATATGCATTGTTTAAGGAATGCTACTATGTTTTTTGTTCTGCTTTGTTGTCCGTTTACACTCTGTGATGAACTTCTCCACGAAAAGAGAAACTTTAGTCGAAGTCGAAACAGATCTTTAAAGCTCCTGTGACCTGCATATCCTACAAATAAACAAGTGCAAGAAAACATCTTAACATTAAAACATTTTGGCATGAAACTCAGGATTTTACATTTTGTCACGTAACATGCATGTTCTTTGAACTTGGTGCAGCCAAAGTGAAACAGGAAGTGACATCAAAGAGGAACTTCCTGGTCTTTGTTGAAACAGTTGAACTCTTGACCCGTCTCTTTTTGATGGTGATTCTAAATAATGTAGGAACTTCAGATTCTCCTCAGCTGTTTGCGTTGTTAGCCATTGTAGCAATGCTCCGCTCGTCTTTGACATCACTTCCTGTTACTGTACATGAGAACATCTTTATTCTTCTCAGTAGCGTGAATATTTATTGCAAAACATTATCTTTCCATGAATGCATTTATATTAATTACAACAATGTGATGTCATGGGCTCTTTAACATCTGTATTCATGCCAATGTTGCTTTTGTTTTCCAGAATGTGCTTTCATGTCTCGTGCCAGTAAATCTTTTACCAGAAATATTTAATGTTTCCGTTTCTGCCTTCTATGGAGTTGTAAAATGCAAACGTGGTTGACATTAGTTTGTGTTGCCAGACTTCTGCTCTGCTTCATTTTCCACTAAAACTCCCTCCTGTCTTTAAAAGCTAAAACTAAATGGACATCCAGTTGCAGCCCGAGTCCCGGACGAGTCTGGAAAGACAGACCCAGTCCCCTGCTTAGGTTGGGTTTAAATGGTGTCACATATACCGTACTTTAAGCTTGGTGACACTGCTGCATTATAAAAAGTTTAGAAAGATCCAACAAAGTTCAGTGAGGTCTTCTGGACGGTTTCATGTTGAAACATTTCGTCTTTCATCCAAAAGACTTCGGAACCACAACAAACTGAGTCTTAAAGCACCTTGACATAGTGGGTCAACCAGTTTGATGGTGCTAAGATGGTTTCTGGAGTCTGCCTTCTCCACCAACGCGTGTGAGGCAGTCGAGGCCCAAGTGGTTCAAAAGATCAAGGTTCATGCTCAATAATCCAGGTCTGCGAGGAGAGGGCAGACTCCACAAACAGTTCTTGGCACCATCAGACTGGTTGACACTACGAGAAGGTGCTACTTCCCTGTAAGACTGAGTTTATTGTGGCTCCTCTTGGATGAAGGATGAAACGTTTCAACATAAAGAAACTGTCCAGAGGACCTGACTTCACTTTTGGATTTTTCTGTTTGGATTAATGAGCATGAACTTTGATGTTTTGAAAGATGGATCATTATCTTTTTAATAACTAGAGTTTTGACTTGATTTTGTTTCAAAATGAGCTTATGAGTAAAAAAAAAACCACCTGATCAATTAATGAAGATAACGAGTACAAATTACATGTTAGGTCAGTTGTTTGTGTAGCAAAATTATAATTCTATAAAACTAATTTTGGGTGTATGTGCGTTTCTGGATTAGGAGTTAACAGCAGGTTCTGGTTTGGTCGGCTGAGGTGGGTCTGATTACAACACCGTTCTGCTTTAAATCAGCATCTCATGCTGTCAGTTATATCCATGGCACAGAAACATCCTGCTTATTTATACAGAGCTGATTAACAAGTACATTTAGGGCATAATTCAAAAAGATTGTGTTATTAAATCAGAATAAGCTTTATCATTGCACCGACATACAACGACAACATGTACGTTTACTTAAGTAAAAGTAAATAAGTACTTGCTTTTAAAATACTTAAAGTACTAAAAGTAAAAGTACTTGCTGAATGTATTAC